TTGTCATTCTTTCATCCAATATGAAATTTCTTTGGGGTTCTACCTTTGATTCTGGCAGTGTTAGTACTGCTTCATTCTCCTCTCCTTCCTCATATTCCTCATCATCATGATCGACATCGTCAGGATCACCACTACGCTCGTTGTCACCTTCTCCTCCTCTTTTTTCTTCATGTTCTTTCATCAAATCGGATTTATTTATCCATTCAGCAGCTTCTGTATCTTCTTCCATATCATCAATATTATCAGCTTCAGCTTCAGTTTCTTCTTGATGCTCTTCTTCTTCCATAGTCTCTGATTTCTCTGACTCCAATTCATTTTGGATATCGAATTCTAATTCTGGATTGCTTGATTCTGTGTCTAGATACAATGTATTCTCTTGTTCTCCTACATTGTCATTGCGTACCATCAATAGAGTGCCATCTTCTTGACTCATTTCCTCCACATAGTTCGCCTTCTCCTCAAATTTTCTTGTAGGAGTTCTACATTCATAGGCATAATGGTCGAACCTTTAACAGTTGTAGCACTTGATTTGTGATTTGTCGCGCCTTGGTTGGAAGCCACCTCTTCCACAACCTCTTGTTGAGCTTTCTCCTCGATCTTCATGGGCATAGTTGTTGTTGAAGCCTATACTTCCACGTCCACGACCTCTTCCTCGACCACGATATCCTCCTCGTCCTCTTGTGTTGCTTCTTCCTTTCCTTTGAAGTTGAGTTGTGTCTTGAGTAATTGTTCACCAACCCTTTTTTTCTTTTGCTTCTCCTGATATGCTTGTAAGGAGCCCAAGAGTTGCTCTGTTGTCATAGCTTCCAAATCTTTTGTTTCTTCTATGACAGTGACAATATGATCGAATTTCGAATCTAAAGATCGCAAAATTTTCTCCATAATTTTTACATCATCTATCTTTTCACCATTTCTTTTTAATTGATTAGTCACCCTCAAGACTTTAGAAAAATAATCGGAGATACTTTCGGCATCTTTCATGTGTGAAGTTTCAAACTCACTTCTTAGTGTTTGAAGACGTACCTTCTTGACCGGATCAGCACCCTTGTAAGAGGTTTGTAGCTTCTCCCATGCTTCTTTTGCGGTGGCTGCCTCCGAAATCTTCTCAAAGACATCTTCATCCAATCCTTGATAGATGAGATAGATAGCTTTCTTGTCTCTCTTTCTTGAATCCTTCAAGCTATCCCTTTGAGTTTGGGATAAAGTGACTCCTTCTTTTGGCTCATCGTAGCCTTTCTCTACCACTTCCCACACATCTTGTGATCCAAGGAGGGCCTTCATCTTGATGCTCCAATTATCATAGTTGCTCTTGGTGAGCATAGGGACTTGGAAAGGAACCATGTTGCTACTTGCCATTTCTCTAGAAAGGATCTTAAGGCTCTTGATACCACTTTGTTGGGAGGAGGATATTTGAGAAAAGGAAAGGTTTAGAAAGATTTGGAGGAAGAGAACACTTTTATTACTACAGAACTCTTTTTCCTTTTGACTTTTTGGCTTGATACAAAATGATGGAGGACACACCTATTTATACTAGTGGCACCTCCTTAACCAATGGCTAGGATTATGCCAACACTATTCTCATCTAATGGCTACAAATTATTCTCTAGAATTCTCCACAATTTTCCTAGCCTATATATTTTCATGGTAGTTTCTAGGTTGAACTATTCTAGATATTTCCATGGAGTAATCTAGAGTGGATTACTCTAGAATTTGGGCTAAACTACTCCTAAAGATTATTCTAGAAGTTGGGCCAAATAATAACAAAGCCCAATAGACCAAAAAACTAAATCAAGTTTATTTTTTCAACATATTCTTCTTTGTTTCTGTGATCCATAATAGATCATGCCAAATTGCAATATTCTTCTTTGTTTAAAAGAGATGTTTTTCTTGTTGCTGCAAATAGAGAGTGAGACCCTAGGAGAAGAAATCATCTAAAGAAGAAATCCAGCGTCATCACTCAAGAAGGAAGAAAGAAAGAAAACATGTGAGAAGGAATCTTATTCTTTCCCTTACAAAGAGATATCATCCTTTCTTAGATAACCATTTTGTAAGTCATTCCATTAGTGAGTGAGTGAATTGTAACATGCTCCTCTCGCTTTTGAACTATAGAGATAATATTGTAATCCCATCTCCATAGTGAATGTTTTCTGAACTAGGTCCTATGGTCTTTACATATTGAAGAGGCTTTCTACATTAAAAAATATTGTGTGTTCCCTGTGTTTCATCTCTGCTTTTTTTTTTTACATTTATTTTGCTAATGCTTCAATAAGCCAGGTTGAAAGTTCAAGGCTCTCTAACACAACGAACTAGGCTGGAGATGCTGGGCTATTTGACACAATAGTGGTATCAAAGCTCTTAGATCAAGGGTTTTTGTCTACAGTAATTTTGGTATTCTTTTATTTTTGGATATTTTTTAATATTTTTGTGCATAATATTTTTTAATGTAAACCTTTTAATATTTATTTTTTAATACACAAAAATACCTTCAAAAAGTCCAAATGCAAGACTTGTCCAGTGGAGGAGCTCTGGATTTCCAAACGGGGCTTTCAGAAGCAATTTACTTAGTTTGAAGTGAGTTAGAAACAAAAAAAGAAAGGAAGGACGTATGAAATCAATAGTCCAAAGCCTCTTATCTGGATAAGAAAACAAAATAAAATCAAGCAGCAGCAAAAGAGATTGTCATGACACATTTAGATCTCAAATTCATTAATCTCTAGTAAAGATAAACATGACACAATTATTGTTAAGCTAAGTCAAATTAAGTCTTGACTACCCTAATAATACTTGTTCCGGGTTTATAACCGGATGGGTCTACTTAGACATAACTTGAGAAGCTCAGGTATCATTATCGGGATAAAATAAGGTTGTGAATTACGAAACGGACTATCCGGCACCCATAAGTAGGGGAATATTTAATGTGCTTCCGGCACACCACTTATTCAGTGGTTCAGACCAATCAAAATCAAGTATTTTCTGATATATGTGTATGGAGGAGAGAGAAAATTTGTTTTTTCCTCCACATGTCAGCCCACCCTAAAATGGGAGGTTATACGAGGATGGATAAAATAAGAAATGAAGATATTCGACGAAAGGTAGGAGTACTACCGGTGGCTGAGAAGATGAGAGAACATAGATTGAGGTGGTTTGGGCACGTAACGAGAAGGCCCCTGGATGCTCCCGTAAGAACAAAAGTTTGTTACCAAGAGCTCAACACAAAAAAAGGTAGAGGTAGACCGAAACTTACTTGGGGAAAGGTAGTAAAACAAGATTTAATGGAGTAGGATATAGATTGACGGACGGTATGCCTTAGAACGGAATGGAGAAAGGCTATAAGCATGGTGGAGGGTTAGACCCGTTGTTATTCCTATGTTCCAGATGGTCCATTTTTAGTCCTTTTCCCCTTCGTTTCCCCTCTTCTTCTTTTCCCTTTCTTTTTTACTTTTACTTTATATTATTACTATTCTATTTATTTATTTTTATTTTATTTTTATGTTTCTTTTTTCAACCTTTTTGTATCTTTTATTTAGGTTCATCTACCACCGACCCTAATTAATTTGGAATAAAGATGTTGTTGATGTTGATGTTGATGTTGATGTTGATGTCAGCCCACCAATGGGAGGAGCACCTGCACCCGGTGCATAAAGAATGTGCTCCACAAGTAGAGCCCATATAGTGAGCTCTTCTCAGAACACAAAATTGGAACCCAGAGTGTGTGGGCCCCAATCCATGATTCTTTCCTACTATATGACAATAAGACCACGATCATTATAACTGTCAAGTTAGTAACTACCTTATATCCATTAATAATAACCGTTAATATAACATATATAAAGAGGAAAATAATGTTCAAAGGGAATTAAGTTCAAATCAACCATAAGCACTACCAAACCGATTTAATCTTTAATGTTCACATCGAACAATACCCTATATCCTAAGGAAAAAAGAAGTTTCATTTTATAAGACACAAACTTGTGTCTTTTGAGCAGTTTTTAACTATGCATTTTTGAAAATGCAAAATTATACTATTAAAGTCGTATATTTTTCTCTTTTCACATCAACAAATCGTTTCTGAAGAAAGAGAAAAAAATAATTTTAATATTACAATTATACATTACCAAAAATGCATAATTAAAACTACTAAAAGTATATAATTTGTTTCTTTTAAAAAGACACTCACTGAACCGATATCCTAATCAAGGCATGATACGAAATTTTTGCATGACGTAGCTGTGAGGCGATCCCCGTATTCAAGGTTACTGATTATATCTAATAATTTTCATCTAACATAGCTGTGATTACTCTGTGGTGCACACCATGCTAGATTTAGGAGTGTGCAAAAACTATATCTTTCTTAAGTACTCTTCAGTGAGACTTGATTCTTCACATCCTTTGGTACTGTCGCTCATTGTTGCTTCTGCTTTTCCTTTGTCAATTTTTTTTTATTTTTTTTTGGTTTCTGAAGCTAAATGTTACGGAGGAGGAAGAAAGTTCTTGCCTTTCTTCTTCCTCTTAGAGATGACCCTAGACCATTTCTAATTTTTCGAAATATGCAGCTATAGGGCAATGAAACACAAAAAGGTTTCATCTTGACGGAAAGAACCGAAAGAAGATGTTGGTTATTAGAAAAAGAAAAATCAGTTCGGTTGTTGGAATCAAATTAATGAAACTGTCTCGGCTGGGTTCGAACTAATTATCATATATATATGCACAACCCTAGCTACCCTTTCGGTTTCGGCTCAAACGGAATCCATAAATCTATGTAACAGATATGAGTAGGTCATTAATATGATCATATTCCAGTTTTTGGTATGTTAAGCTTTAAACTCTAGTGATTTTTGGACACCAGAGCAGTTAGACAAACGGTGTATATATTTGGAAAAGTTAATATGGGAAACCTCAGCATGGTACCAATTAACAAGTAGTGGTCAAGGCAATCATATACCTCACAGAAACACAGCTAGCTAGCTACAATAAAGAGAAACATTAACTCATGATGCCATTCACCCTTGAGGTTCACCTCCCATCAGATCTTCATCGTTATAGTATAGGACCTCAGACATCTGCCATATTTGAAGTATGTTATCCTCAGCCACACTAGCAACAATCCATTCCTCATTTTGGTTCCAAGAGAAGTCCGATATTTTGCTTGTATGACCACCATGAATAAACAGCAATTCTGGTGGACCATCTCCTATATTTTCTGCCTTCAGCTCTTCACCAATCCTACACAACAAATGACTGCACTTGGTTATTAAGCCAAATATTTCGGACATCTATGATTATAGCTATTTTTTAATAATTCACTTTCATCACAAAATCCATCTATCCGTTTTAACATTCTGCATCACAAACATTTGAGAATTAATTTAGCACGTGAGCAGCTATGTAACTTACATAAATGTTCCAAAATCCTAACTCAACAAATTCAATTACAATACATAGTCTCATTTTCTGCTTATATAGAGAAGTAGTTTACTTAATTTGGGTTACTTAACTGTTTCTTTCAAAATTCTCCACCTCGGTCACACACACACAGAGTGCATAACAATATGCGTCAGAGCATTTGATGAAAATGCGTACCAAACGAGCTTTCATTTTCCTATCCCCCCCCCCCCCCCCCCCCCCCCCCCCCCCCAAAAAAAAAAAAAAAAGTTGTAACAACAGATCAACTTGGCAAAAAAAAAAACTTCGAAGATATTTAGGTACCAATGCGGCCACCCCATTCATAGGATACAAACAGAGAATCAAATGTGGCAGCAACCGGTTTGATTTCATACACATTCCGTTGGTAAGGATGAAGCATAGTTTACCATACTAGGTTTCTGAAGTTAGCTTATATTTCCTACTTTCTTATTACCACACTTTGCTTATGGATTTATTTCAGATTCACATGTTACATCACTCGTTATAATTAGAAGTCTACTATTGAGTAAAATAGATTTCTACACTTACAAAAGCCTCCTATAATTATCTGGACTAAATTTAAAAATTCCAGCCCAGTCACCTTTTTTTTTTCCAGATAAGTCCAGCCCACTAAATTTACAATGAATCTATATAATGGTCTCTCAAGGATTCAACCATCCTAAAAGCTTAAACTGTTAGAGAACACCTTAGAAAGCATTTTAATATTTTAACACACTGCTTCACACGAAAACCATTAATGCACTTAAAAGTGTAGACATAGTACAGACCCACCGAAAACTTTGATCTTAATTTACTAACATGGCAGGGGCATGGCAACTAGGATTCAACTCATGACAACTTGCTCAAAGTGGCTCAAACACGGCATGGAACAAACAAAAAATATTACTTAGATTTATGGGGGAAGAACCCGTAATAGGATTTGTGATGTATCAAAATCTCCAACAATTCTACCCAACAATTCTACTAGGATACCACAACCCAACAAACATTTCAGGACAACTTAAAATCCACTAAGAAGTCCAGAGATGACAATGCTTTTATTAAGGAATACCTGCTAATATCCCACACCAATAGTCTCCTACCATGACAAGAAGAGGCCAAGATAGTCTCGTTCTTTGGATTCCAGCATACCTGGGTAATCTCTTCCCTATTGCACCCAAGAACAAAAATCCAGATGATCAATGACTGCTATGAACATAAGTACATGTAGAAAAAATTTAGAAACATCTGAGGAGAGTGTTACTCGTGACCATCGAAGGTGTAAAGAGCAGTACTGATCTTGCGCAGATCAAACAACTTCACAGTTTCATCCGAAGAACCCGTAGCAACAAGCCATTCGTTAAAGGGATTGAAAGTCAAGCAGTTAACCTAACAAGATATTATCCACCATAAAAAGCTTTATCAGTAAGGGTTATTGAGAAGAAGAAGAAAGTATGAGCATTTTGTAAACACTGGAAAACCACCAAAAGATTGTGAACTCAACAGAGTTAAATTAAAAGGATAAAGGAAAAGTAATGCACAATGGAGAAAGAACAATAATTAGAAAAGAGCTGACTGATTGAAAATATAAGGAAGATTAAAAAAACTCTCGGCAAGCAAAAAAATGAAAAGCCAATGAAGTGATATAGCATCAATGTACAACTGGAGAGTGGATGAGTTTAGTGAAACTTTGTCATGAATTTCAATATGTCAAAAGATATAAGTAAACATAGATTGATATCTTCAGAAGATCATATCAGCACCTAACATAAATTAATAATTCTCCTAAGTTTGTTTGTATCAAACATCATAAAATAGATCAAGTGGCTCAACTTCCCTGCATCTTTCCATCTAACAAGTTTTTCCTGCACAGGCTATGCTAATTTTTAATAAAGATTTTTTTATTTTGTTTCTGACATTAATTTCCACAAAATTATCTGTCATTTTCAAGACACAATAATAGCATTCTAACTCTTAATTTAACAGTTGTCGTGATCAAAGTCATTTTCTCATAAATCAGAGTACACATGAAAACTTACATCGATCAAACATATGCTCTAACAACTCTTTAAACAATCATCTAAGTTAAGTTTCATTAAATGCAGAATGCAAAGTCATTCGAATCCAAGAAGTGAGATTTAACTGGTTCAAACCAACATATTTGTACCCACAACCAGATTTATGCACCCACGATTCACACAAGAGAGAGACAGAGAGAGTTATATATTATGCACCTCACTTTGATGAGCAACAACAGATTGGGCAGGCTTGGTAACATATGGTGTTCGAAGATCCCATATAAGCAAGTTTTGTTCACTACCAACAGAACCAAACAAGTACTCATGCTTCAAATGCCAAGCTACATCTTCCACAGCACCTTCATCGACCTAATTATAATTCATGTTTTCACAAGGCACAAACAATAATGCATGTATTTTCATTTTAAAATTTTGAAAATAAAAAAACCTTGAAAACTTGGTTGGGGTAGAGTGATTTCTTATTGGGAATAGCGTTAACATCCCACAAGCAAATCAAAGGATCCTCAGAGCCACTAAGCAAATGGCCATATCTGAACTTGCTCCACGACAAACCCCACCCTTCATTGGTGTGACCAATCAACCTCAAATCAGGGGTAGAGGGATGCTTGATATAATCAAAGATATGAACCTCACCACTAACGGTTTTAGTGGCAATGATGAATGGGTTTTGTGGCATATAACGAGCCCTATTAACCTCACCATCGTGTTTGATTTGCTGTATGATTTGAACATCACCGGCGTTGACACCACCAACACCAGGGCCTTCATCATCATAGTATGGGATGTGGAGCTCTGCACTTTCGAGAGGGATTTGTACCTCAGCGAGCATCAGGTAATTGGGCTCGTTCATGGCGGCGTGGGTTCCGAGGATGATTTTTTGAACGGAGTAGTCCTCGCCGGGAGGCTCGTGGCTGTCCGGGAGCCACTCCACCGTGAGGGACTGCCACTCGAGGACGTGTGTGAAGACGAGGTCGTACAAGAATGGAGTGTTCTTCTTCCAAATCTTGTAATCTTCGCTTATCTCCCTCATCTCCATTCTCATATCTTCTTCCTTCTTCTGTTGCCTCTTCTCCTCGTGTCTCCTCCGAATCTCCATTCTCAACTCCGCTGTTCTCTTTCCCACTTTCTCAACTTTTTCCCTTCCCCTTCCCCTTCCCCTTCCTCTTCCCCTTCCCCTTTCCATCTCTCTGTAAACCCTAATTACGATTACTCTCTTTCTCTGATGTAAATGCAAATGCAAATGCAAATGCAATACACACGAGACTATGTAATTTGGTAAAGCTCGAGTTTTGGAGGGAAATGCAGTTTATACGGTTCATGAAGTTGAAGGAGGCGGTTGAGTGGTTAGTTAATCGTTTTAACGGAAATCAGTTATCGGTAGTTAATATCAATAATAATAATTATATTAAAGAGTAAATACTCTTTTTGGTCCTCCGTAAATTTTACGATACCCGTTTTAGTCCCTAATAAATAAAACCGCCCATCGTGGCCCCTAAAAATTCAAAATTGACCCATTTTAGTCCTTTTGAGGACTAATACGGGTCTTTTTTGAATCTGTGAGGGACCACGATTTCAACTGAATAGGTCCATTTTGAATTTCGTAGGGACCACAATGGGCCTTTTTATTTGCTAGGGACTAAAGCGGGCATCATGAAATTTGATGAGGACCAAAAAGGGTATTTACTCTATATTAAAATGGGAGTGGATCCTCTCATGTGCTAATTAACATGACCATGTCATGTGGGGCAATCCTAACCATACATGGGTGAGTTAATGGTGATAAGGGAGGAGAGATAAAAAATATAAAGATGGAAAGTTACACAATCATCACCGTTGATTTAATTATTAATGGTTAAGATCCTCTCATATGACATGATCATCTTAAATTACACATGAAAAGATCCATTTCTTATTAAAATAGTTCATATTTATTTTCTCGGACCGAGTGAAGATGTAGAATGTTAGGAGCTTAAAGCAAAATGACATGATACATAATACGAGATAGGTCAATTAACATAACATCATGCATCAGATAGCCATTTTACCAGCATTTAATTTTTTGCTGCCTAAATTTGTAATTATATAACTAATGTCCTCAACCTGCCAACCAAAATATTCATATTATTTGTCTTTTGGAGAAAAAATATTTGTACTAAGATGAGAGAAGTGTTTGTCATTTTAAATTACATAAAATTATGTCATTTTAAGATAGAGATAGACACAAAATAATATTTTTTTATTTAAAATTTAAATTAAAAAAAATCACCCACTTTCTCCTCCATGATTTTCATTCTTTGAGTTTATCTCTCTCCTAAAATGACATAACTTATGTCATTTAAAAATGATAAACATCAAACCCTTAAAAAATATATAATTGTATTATTTTAAGAGGAAAAAGGACACAACTTAATATTTTTTATTTAAAATTTAAATTTAAAAAACATACTTATTTTTTCTCCGTGATTTTCATTATTTGTATCTTTCTCTTATTTAAAATGAAATAACTCTATGTGATAAACACTAAACCCTTTTTTTTCAAAATAATTAACTAATTAAATTTAAAAGCCATTGATGTAATTATCAGTCTTTGTATTTTTATTTTATTTTTTTCATGAATCCTAAACATCCAGTCTTTATTGAATTATTTCAACATATTCTGATTTTTTTTATTTCGTAATATTATTAAATTCGCAACTTTTAGAGTATAAATTTTATTACTCAGTTTGTAACGTTCAACATAAGAAAAATTTAAAAAATAGTACAATATTTTTCTAAAAAAAAACCCAAACTAACCCCTCTATATTATTATGATAGTACGATAAGATGGTTCTTACTTTTGCATGCAACTATTGAAGATACACCTAACGTAATTCGTTTTAAGCTGGGCCAAATCATGTCATCTTTTCGTGTGAAAAAAATATATGATATGGTCATGTGAGAAGATCACAACCATACATAGGTAAATCACCGATTATGATTTCGTAATTACTTATTTTAACATTTTTTTTTCTCTCCTTCATTATTACTATTGATCCACTTTTATATAGTTATGATTCCCTGCATGACATTATCATATGAATTTTAACGTGAGAAGATCCAGATCCCTTGCGAAGCAAGGCATGATGTAGCTGCGAGGCGGAATAACCATATTCAAAGTCACCGATGATATCCAGTAATTTTCATCCTACTTATCCGATGCAGACGGTGCTAGCCTTCGGGATTGGGCTCAAAAGAAATCGATACAACATAAAGCTATCTAACTGATATGAGTGCATCATTAATTTAATTCGATCACTTTCATATTTTTATCCCCGGGTGTGTTAAGCTTTATATTCTGGTGATTTTGGATTAAAATAAATCCTCTAATATCTTTAACATGAGAACATCATATGAGAAGTCTTAGTTAATAATCATTAATATGTAAGCAACCATAACGACAAAACACCTAAAACAAAAATGTTAATTTCTCACTATATGACCACGACTTTTCACATTGTTAAGATGAGAGGATTCATTGCCAGAATTTGGATGCTAGAACAGTTATACAAACGGTAATTGGAAAAGTTATTTAGAAACCTCACCATTTCAGCATGGTACCAACAAGTACTGGTCAAGGCAACAAGAGTTTATCATACCTTACAAAAACACAGCTAAAACTAAGACGAAAAAAGGATCCACGGTACGAGTATAATAGGGAAAAGCTCCCCGACACCCAAATACTCAACTTACATTCCACACTACACTGACTATATATCATTACGAGCGATAAATTAGGAGGCCTTTGTTGACTCTTCTGGAAGATCATCTTCGTCATGGTATATGTTCTCCGCCATCTGCCATATTTGAAGTATGTTGTCTTCAGCCACACTAGCAACAACCCAATCTTCACACGGGTTCCAAGAGAAGTCGGATATTTTGCTTGTATGGCCACCATGAATAAACAGCAATTCTGGTGGACCATCTTCTGCATCTTCTGGTGACTGCTCTTCATCAATCCTACACAACAAATGAGCACACTTTGTTATTAAGGCAAATAGTAGGGATATCTATGATTATAGGTGTTTTTTAACAATTCACTTTCATCAGAAAATCGATCCTCAATAACAATTTTAACAATCTGCACCTGAAACATTTGAGAAGCTCAATGCTACAAACAAGTAACAGTGGCCATCTCAACCTACAAAGGAATGAACAGGTACATGCAACTGGCCTGCTGTCTAAGTAAGAAGGAGTCCAATGATGGTGGTAACTGACTCGATATCATGTTCAAGAGATAACTATTGGTCCATTATTCCATCAGTCCCGTATTTACTGAACCCATTAACTCCAGAAAAACCGAGAAATTGTTACCCAATTGATTCGCTCCGCCAAGAGGAGCTTTAATTCATTCAAGTGGCAAGCAGACCCCAATTCAACGGTGGTTCAAAAAAATTAACAGATGAAGTTATTAACGCTAACCAACATGTAAGAGCAACTTTAATTCACCGGTTCTAACAGTGTGATTTTTCATCTCAACATTTTTTTTTTATTGAACTAGTGGAAGAGCAGTTCAATCCTTCACATCAATTGGTTGACCAGCAATTGGAACAGTTAGGTTAACCACTAGGCCCACCTTCAGGAATTAAGAGATCATTCCATTTATGCTCTTAATACTCCCATCATATGAAAATATTTTATAATAATTACAAGAAATCCATGTTCAGTGATTGGCACATAAACAAATGTAGATTCCAATTTGAAAAACAACTGGCCAGTAAGAAATGGGCTTCAAATTGCAAAGAGGAATTTTCATGTCATGACTTCCACTTATGTCCGGAATCTCTTACATAACAACTTTATCACAAGTTGAAATCTCCAAGTATGGAGGGTGAATAAAATGGAAAAGCGTCCTATTTTTTAAATTCATATTTATGATCTAGTTTCAGTTGTTTATCTTCAGTTAAATCAGGTAACTTCTTGACCTATGGGCATTGAAAACTAGTTATGGATTGAAAACCTGAACAATGCTTAGTTTCAGCATTTAAATCTGAAAAACAATTTTCTTGATACTTAATTATTTCCAGTTATTCTACAGATAAAAGAAAAACAAATTTGAGAACAGGGATTGAGAACAAAAATTTACCAAACAAAAAATGCACGAAAACATTTGGCAATACCAGTGACATGTAAGTATTTTTGTGGAAAGAGCATAAATATTTTTATCTTAGCAAAATTATAAAGAACAAATATTCAATCCACATACTTTAGTTTAGTTTTTTTAGAGAGTTTACCTAGTTTGGGTTACTTAAATCAGCTGTTTATTTTTGAAATTCTCTTTCACAGTCACACACACACAATGCAAAACATGATGCATCAGAGCATTTGATCGAATGTGTAGCAAAAGACCTTTCATTTTTCCTATTTCCCCCCACAAAAGTTGTAACATCAGATCAACTTGCAAAGTACCAATGGTGCCTCCTCCCCACTCATAGGAAACAAATAGATAATTAACAGTGGCAGCAATAGGTTTAATTCCATACTCATTCCATTGATCAGGATCAGGATTAAGCCTAGTTTACCATACTAGGTTTACAGTTTATATTTCCTACTTTCTTATTAGCACACTTTGTTTATGTTATTGTTCAACAGATTTATTCCAGATTCACATGTTGCATCACTCACTGAACTTAGAAGTCTACTGTTCAGTAAAATAGATTCTTACACTAACAAAAGCCTCCTTCCAATATATTGACTTAAAATAAAAAATTCAGGCCCAATCACCTTATTTTCAAGCTAAGTCCAGCCCACTAAGTATATAGTAAATCTATATAATGGTAAAACCTAAACAATCATGAACCTACTAGACTATGTCAAGTACTGAAAATCAGATCAAGGATTCAACCATCCCAAAAGCTTAAACTGTTAGAGAACACCTAGGAATGGATTTTAATATTTCTAACACACCGCTTCACATGAAAATCATTGAACTTAAAAGTGTAGACGTAGTACAAGCCCACCCAAAACTATGTGCTGGGATTTTAACTTACTTACGAGTTACAGAAGGGAGGAATTGAACTCATGACGACTTAGTCAAAGTAGCTCAAACATGTCATAGAACAAACTATAAAAAATAGTTAAAATAAGAGGAAGAGCCACTAACAGGCTATATGATTGATCAAAATCTCAACAATTCCACTAGGGTACCATAACCCAGTAAACATTTCAGAACAACAAACAAAAACAAAATCCACTAAAAAGTCCAGAGATGGCAATTCTTTCATTAAGCAATACCTGCTCAGATCCCACACCATAAGTCTCCTACCAAGACAACAAGAAGCCAAGATAGTCTCATTCTTTGGATTCCAGCCAACCTGGAAAACCTCCTCCCTGTTGCACTCAAGAAGAAAAATCCAGATCAATAACTGCTAAATGTAAGTACAACAAGAGAAACTTTGGAAACCTCTGGGGAGAATGTTACTTGTGACAATCAAATGTGTGAAGAGCAGTACTGATCTTGCGCAGATCAAACAACTTCACAGTTTTATCCGTAGAACCAGTAGCAACAACCCATTCGTTAAAGGGATTGAAAGCCAAGCAGTTAACCTAACAGATATCCAGCATAAAAAGCTTTATCAGAAAGTGATATTGAGAATTTTGAAAACAGTGGAAAACCACCAAAAGAGTGTGAACTCAACAGAGTTAAAAAGATAAAGGCAACTAAAGCACAATGGAGGAGAATATTGCAAGGGGCTTAAAGATTGAATATTTAAGAAAAGATTAAAAATCTCTCAGCAAGCAAAATATGAGAAGCCATAGAAGTAAAATAGCATCAAAGTACAACTGAAGAGTGCAGTTATGGCCACTTCTTTGATCTTAGCCATGGTTATAAATTTATACGTTTTGCTTATTTGAATCTTCTATCAGCACCCATAATTAAGTCTTTCAATATGTCACCATGTTACAACACAACTCCGTTAAGATTTAATATGTCTGGGATTTGACGAGTTTGGCCAAACTCTCATGAATTTCTAGATTTCAAAAGATGTACGTAAATAAAATTGACATCTTCAGAATGTATCACAAAACATAAATTAATAATTCTCCTAAGTTTGCATCAAGCAAGCGATGTACATCATAAAATAGATCAAGTGGTTCAACTTCCTGGTATCTTTCCATATAACAGGTTTTTCCACCACAGACTACGCTCCTTTTGAGAAAGATCCACGCTACAGCGCTATAGCGGTAGCGCAATAGCGGAGTCCTATGCATGAACCTGTTATATAGATATACCACACAAATAAATGATAAAAAATAAACCCTAAACCATAATTAAATTTATTATCATTCCAAATAAGGACTCTAAATACTGATGTCAATTAAAAAGATCCAAATACTGTCAATTGAAAAAGTCTCGACGCGTTCAGATACATTAAGGCTTAAAAGATTAAAAAACCCTTAAAATATGACCGTTACGAATTTAAAAAGAGGACAAATATGGAAACTTGTCCCCTTTCACTGTAGGGTGCTATTGCGCTGCGATTTTCCGCAAAAGCGGCCGCTACCACGAAGAGATACGTTGTGTGGCATCCTGTAGCAGCAAGGAGCCACAATGTGCTATGGTAGTGCTATAGCATGCTATTGATCACTCACATCAAACATATGTTCTAACAAACTCTTTAAATAAAGATCAAGTTAAGTTTCTTCAATTGCACAATGTCAAGACATTCTAATCCAAACTAGTTCCTCGTATGGATTTACTTTTCAATATATATACCATACCATTACATATCACAAGTAGCCAGATTTAACTAACTGGTTCAAACCAACATATTTGTCCACAAACATGCCTGTACCACACAAGAGTGAGAGAAAGAGAGAGAGTTATTATGCACCTCACTTTGATGAGCAACAACAGATTGGACAGGCTTGGTAACTGCTGGTGTTCGAAGATCCCATATAAGCAAGTATTGATCATCCCCAACAGAACCAAACAAGTACTCATGCCTCAAATGCCAAGCCACATCTTCCACAACACCTTCATGAACCTAATTACAACAACACCACAATATTCATGTTTTGCAGGTGGGGGGAAAACATTAAAAAAAAAAAAAAACATGATACCTTGAAAATTTGCATGGCCTCGAGGGACTTATTTTTGGGAGAAGCATTAATATCCCACAAGCAAATCTGAGCATCATCAGAGCCACTGAGCAAATGGCCCTGTTTGAATTTGCTCCACGACAAGCCATAACCTTCAGTGTTGTGACCTCTCAACCTCAAATCAGGGTTACAAGCACCATCAAGAGGGGGCTTAGAAGGATGCTTACTATAATCAAAGACATAAACCTCAGCACTAACGGTTTTAGTCGCAATGATGAAAGGGTTTTGCGGCATATAACGAGCCCTATTAACCTCACCATCATGATTAATCTGTTGAATGATCTGAACCTTTCCGTTGGCGCAACCGAAACCGCCGAAATCAGGACGATCGTCGTCGTAGTGGCGCGCGTCATTCTCGGAATCCTCGAGGGGAAGTTGAACCTGAGCGAGCATAAGGTAATTGGGCTCGTTCTCGGAGGTGTGGGTTCCGAGGATGACTTTCTGGATGGAGTGGTCCTTTCCCGGTGGTTCGTGGCGGTCGGGGAGCCACTCCACGGTGAGCGAGGGCCATTCTAAGGCGTGTGTGATAACGAGGTCATAGAGAAAGGGACTGTTCTTCTTCCATATCTTGTACTCTTCGTTTATGAGCCTCTCTTCTATTTCACCTCTCATTTCCTCTTCCTCCTTCCCCATCCACACTCTAAAACCCTAATAAACGAGTTCACTCGCTCACCACACTCACTCTTTCTCCGATGCAAAATGGCAAAATGCAAACGCACTATGGAAAAAATGAAAATGGAACCGCCCTCCCTCTAATTTACAATTTACCCACCCCTACTTTATTCCTTTCTCTCTTTCGGTTTTCGCTTCTCGGCTTGGGTTGGGTAAACTTTTTTTTTTTTTTTCAGTAATTTGAAGGGTATCCTCCGACCGTAACCGAAGATTAATCCCCAATCAAGCATTGTCGGGTCTTTCGACTCGAACTCGGGACCTCCGGTTAAGGGAAATATTTAATATGGTCCAGGACCACTGAATCTTTTGGTACTCCTTTTCACATCATTAATTTTTTTTTCCCTTTTTATCCATGTTATTTTCTCTCTTTTTCGATTTTATCCTCCTATTTACACTAAGGGACCATCTAAAAAATGGTGGCACAGTTCACTTTAAATAATCTCCTGGTTAAGGGACCCAGGCTCCTTACCACATGTGCCAAAGGAGTTTGGTGGTTGAGTAACCTTACACATTTATTTTATTTTATTCACTCTCAATATTAAATTAAAAATAAATGTCTTGTACTAAAGTAAGGTTATTTATTACTATTTAAATCTTATAATTCTAATTACTTAATTGATTATTATTGATTCAAATTAAAATTAACGGCAGTATATTTTTTTTTAATATCAATTTTAAATTGATTCAATAATAACTAATCAGGTGAAAAAAATAATAAGATTAAAATAATAGTAAGTATAACAATTTTCTTTTTTTATTATGTTGTCTTTTATTTTTTTAATAAGTTAAACTTATCTAAATAAGTTAACTTTTATTAAAATTTATTAAAAAATAAAAAGTGGTGTTAAATATAAAAAAGTTACACCACACGATGAAATTGTAAGACCATGAGTGCTTGCACTTCTCTTCTAAAATAATTTTGTTTTGTAAAAAAAAATTGTAAATAAATTAGGAAAAAATTATTTTCATGTTATATAAGATAAACTTTTCTCCTACACACTCTTTCGATAATTGTGCCATCTTTTTTTTTTCTTTTTTCTTTTTTTTTTCTAGTGGTAGAATCTACAAATTTGTCTCTATGACATGAAATAACTTATCTTCTTTAAACTCAATAAATTAATATAAACAGTTGGTGGAACTGTCAACAATCATCGTCTGGATTCAAGCTTAAAACGTGTTGGCCTCCGAAAACAAAACATAACCCATAGTCCTTTTCTATGCACTCTAAACCTTGGCAAATTCACTCGCTCTCTTTTTATTTGAAGATCGTCGACTAAAATTTAAAAAATAATTTACTTATTTATGTTTTTTTATTGTTGTGTCATGTTTCACTTATTTCTCCTTTTTAATAAAAAAGTGTGTATTACAATAATACTAAAAATTTAATAACTTAAAATGACAGGTTTGTTAATAGATATTATATTCAATTCAATAATTTCTTCGCCTCAGGAAAATAATTTTCAACTATCGGGAGATAGCCTTGGAGTCATGTAAAAAAAGAAAATAATTATTTCATGTTGCATGAGATAATTATCTTATGCAACAGAGAGAAAATAATGGGGTCTACTATTTTTTTTATTTTTTTTTGAAAAAGTAGTAGACCCCACAATCTTATCTTTGTTGCATGAGATAATTATCTCATGCAACATGAGATTAATAGATCCCATAAAAAATGACACTTAATGCAAATTTAAAAAATTATTTAATGATCATAAAATTAAAATTATTTCTGGAAATAATACAAATAATTATGCACAAAAGATGTATAACTGTCACGTGCGTTGGATACAAGGGTGTTAAATGAACCACAGGCTTTTCAGGTTCTTTTGGCTCAGGTCGTGAAGACATGAGCTTATATGTCTAAAACTGGTTGTTGGCTCCAGGCTTGAATTTGTATAAAAGTCCGTTTAATAAAAAGGTCTAAGGCTCCAATTCAAAAGTTCTGCCTTAAAGCCTCTCCGACTGACCTAATATATTATTGGCCTTAGAGTCTTTCAGACTGGTCTAGTATATTATTTTATTTTTTTACTTTATATTTTTTGTACTACTTGTAATGATCATCTCTTTCTCTTCAATTCATCTCACCCTCTTTTATTGGTTAAACGGACTTTTTGAATGATTTTGTTTTGTTTCATATTATGTTGTTTGGATATACATTGAATTTATGATTATTTATGAAATTACTAGTGTTATTAATTGTATATTTTTTTTTTTTTGATAACAATTAATTGTATATTTTGTTTGCATAAATTTTTGTTGTCTTATTTTTTTTAAATAAACTAACAGGATAAACCAGACTTTTATTTTTTTTTTGTAAATAAGCCAGGTCACATGCCAATAATTATATTTATAACAGGTAAAATGTTTTACCAGACTGACACTGTAAACACAGACTTAATTATTTAAGACAAAAGCTAGGCTCGGCTTGGACACACCTCCATGCGCATCTAATATGACATTTTTAAATTTGAGATTAGTGTTTCTTATATTATAGAAAATAATTTTATATCTTACCCAAATAGAAAAGTGTGTGAGACTATTTTTTTTGTTTTCGCTTCTCTTCACACTTACCTCACACATATGTATATAAAATTATCTTCAATGAGATAAAAAAAACATTAATCCCGAATTTTATTACATCATTCAATGTAAATATTAATTATATCATAAATTACTAGTATTAATTAATTATTAGAAATATAAATAACTCAACATTTATTATTCTTAAAAAAAATATTGAGGATTAACAATAAATGAAGATGATTCAAACACGAATTTATAGTACTGTAAAAAAACAAAACAAAAAAAGAGAGGATAAACAATAAATGAAGATGAACAGTGGGTGGAGCGGTCAACAATCAACATCTGGCTGGATCCATCTTATTATAAAACAGAAAACGTGTCTCCCCTGAAAACAAAATCGTGACCCATCCATCCTCCTTCTCTCTCGTTTCGGTGGCTCTCAACAAAAGTTTGATTCTTTTTTTCTTTCTCTCTTTTGCTTCCTTCCTTCCTTCCATATTCTTCTTGCTCAGATCAGAAAAATGGATCTTGCCCCAGAAGAGCTTCAATTCTTGAACATCCCAGAAATCGTTAGAGAATCAATCTCAATCCCAAAAAGGTCACCTAAAACCTTCTACCTCATCACCCTCACCCTCATCTTCCCTCTCTCTTTTGCAATCTTAGCTCACTCTCTCTTCACCCACCCTCTCATCTCTCAGCTTCAATCCCCTTTCACTGACCCTTCTGAAACAAGCCATGATTGGACCCTTCTCCTTGTTATTCAGTTCTGCTACCTCATCTTCCTCTTTGCATTCTCTCTCCTCTCCACTGCAGCTGTTGTTTTCACCGTTGCCTCCCTCTACACTTCTAAAGCTGTCTCCTTTTCATCCACAATCTCTGCAATTCCTAAAGTCTTCAAGCGATTGTTCCTCACTTTCATCTGGGTCACCCTCTTGATGATCCTCTACAACTTTGTATTTGTCCTTTCACTTGTGCTTCTCATCATAGCCGTTGATACCCAGAATTCCCTTTTGCTGTTTTTCGCCATTGTTGTGATCCTCTTGCTCTTCATTGTTGTTCATGTGTACATCACCGCGATGTGGCATTTGGCCAGCGTGGTTTCTGTGCTGGAACCGGTTTATGGTTTTGCTGCAATGAAGAAGAGCTATGAGTTGTTGAAGGGTAGGGCCAAGTATGCTGCTGTTTTGGTTTCTGGGTATTTGATTATTTGTGGGATCATTGGAGGAGTTTTCAGTGTGGTGGTGGTGCACGGTGGAGATAGTTATGGGGTGTTCTCGAGGATTGTGGTTGGTGGGTTCTTGGTGGGGATTTTGGTGATTGTCAATCTTGTTGGGTTGTTGGTGCAGAGTGTGTTCTACTATGTGTGCAAGAGTTACCACCATCAAGGGATTGATAAGAGTGCATTGCATGACCATCTTGGTGGCTACCTTGGAGAATATGTGCCTCTTAAGAGCAGCATTCAAATGGAAAATTTGGATGTATGATTCCGGGAGAGTTTGTACACCCATAAGAGAATTGGGTTTGATTTGTAAGTTGATTTTCTTTTGTTATTCTGTAATGGAATAGTGTAAAACACAGTGGGAAAGACTAATGATAGATTGTATGTTGAATTTTTGATGTTGTGTAGTGTATCAATCTGTTATTTTAAATAAGCTATTTGATTCAATCCTTGTTTAACAGTAGCTCAGTAGTGTTTTGCACATCACTGCATTTTTGTATTGTGGTAGTATTGACATATTGTTTTCACCTGTGTAGAAGTTTTTCAATTAGCATTGAATTGAAAAACAAAATCTATTTGGCTCTGTAGACCTTTTTCTTTCACATGATGATTGAGATTGAAGCTATATTTTGACAATTTTTTTTAAGTGTTGTATCTGCAAGTTGATTGCCTTGTATAATTAGTGCCAGGTTCAATTGCTTGTGGGATTGGTTACAACAAGACATTTTTAGACAAATATTTGGCTTTATGTGATGCTTTGTAAGTTAATTAGTTTATTGACACCCCCTACCCCTAAGGGTGAAGACGCACGCAAGTTGAAGATTCTGAGTTTTTAGCCTTAGAAGCAAAGACACTTACATTTTTGTGCTCTTTCTTGACTTTCATGTAAGGCAACTCTGCCAGGAGAGAGAGACAGAGAGAGAGAGACAGAGAGAGAGAGAGAGAGAGAGAATGGGGGAAGGAGAGAAACCGCTTGAATTCAGATAAAACAGCTGATTCTTGGTTTTCAATCTCTTATTCTTTACTTTTGATAATGTCAATTTTCAGCTGTAACTCAAGGTATTGATCCTGTTTGAAGTCCACTCCTAGCTCCTTTAATGTCTTTAATCCTCCTCTTTAATATTGGTGAAACACTGAAATGGAGAAAAAAAACCTGGAAAATTTTTTAATTGGCTCATTGGGGCTGTTTATCATGCCTTGTGAAAGTGGATAGTTCTATATGATAACCATTTTAGCGCAAGGGTATGTACACTGCAAAGTTGTTTTAATTTTGATTGTCTGCTTTTGCTACTCTTAATCCACCATCTTCATAAATCATAAGTTTAAATGGCAGCTTGTCAAAATGGTTGATCTTGATTTGTTGTTTATATCTTCTTATGCCTTTTTGAGGTACATTTGCCATCATTAATTTCCTCCCCTCGTAACTATTGTAGTGAGATTAGTCAGGGTAGAGCTTTCTGTTCCTAAGGAATGTTGGGTTTATTATTATCTGTGAAGTCACAATGTTTGGAAGTGATATAGATGGTGGTAGGTTCTTCTGTTTGATAAACTTGAGATGCTTCAAACATTTTGCAAACTGGCTATGGCAATCTGGCACTGGCATAATCCCTGAAGTGCTGCAGTGTTGATACTGGTTTCATGGCTTTTCAATGTTCACCAACTATTTTGTTCCCAACTTGTACAATTGTTCTGTTTTCCACTATGGATGAATAGACATACCAAAAATATAAGATGGAGAATGAATTATTCGTTAGGTAGTGTTTGGTTAGGGAGAAATTTTTTTTTACTAGAGAAATGTAATTGATAGGGAAATGGTTGGAAAGTGAGTTTGGTAGGAAAATGTAAAAAAAGTTGTTTGGTTGACCCAAATATTACCAGGGAAATTTATTTAAATATGCAAAATCTATGTTCGGGAGAAACTTTGCACCTGTTTTTTCACTTCCCCAGTTATCTCATGATACCACATCTCAAGTGGTATTCTGTAACAGTGAATTTTATCCAAAAATCAACACAAAAGTCATTTTCCCATCTATCCTATTTGCCTGGTATTTTTTGAAAAAACCTGAACCAAACGTGGTATTTTTCAATATCCACTTACACTTTCCCATCAATCCCAAAATAAACCTTCAACCAAACACTACCTAAGAAGTTAGAAAAGTGCCTTTCGAGAAGATGACATAAACTTCATTACAGTGGTTTATAAAAGAAAAATAATCCTATTAAAAAGTGGCAATTCAGAGAAGATTTTCAGAAAAAAAATTTAGAGAATGTTTAGATTAACTTTTTTTCTTTAGAACAAAAAAGGCTTTTAATCAGCAAAAAAAAATTGGAAGACTTTGAAAAAAAATTACTTTTTCTTTAAAAAAAAGTGTTTAATAAAATTTATGTTTAGTGCAACAAGTATTCGAAAATTGCTTTTGCATTCTAATAGAGTAATTTAACATCAACTTTAAAATGAAAAGGCTTTTCTTTTATAGTGCGTAATCCAAAGCATCTCAAGACTCAATTCATATATTTAATCGTGACACGATAGTCAGGCATATTAGACAATCTAAACTTAAGAAGATAAAATTGATCTATAATAAAAATAAAATATACCTCCACTAGGTTTTGAAAATTTGTTTTTTAGCCTTTAATGCATTAAAAATTCCCTTCAACTAAGAATCCAATACACTAAAAATTTACACTATAAGATAAACCAATCAACAGTTCCCAAGCATAATATAGTATAACAATGGTAGAGTTTGAAACAGGATAACCAAATTAGATCTTATTAAGCTGAAATAACCCCTATGGCGCTTGTATGCTACTCTCTTCGAACCGGACTGACGGAGAAATTAAAATATATATGGTTTAATTATTTGTCATGTCACTTGACCATCTGTCACTCAAAACTATGTCGTTATGTCGTTTTAGATATTTACTTTTTTTATTTAATTGATCGGAAATAGATATTATATTCTCTCTCTTCTTTTATCATTATTGATCCATCTTTGTATAATTATGATTTCCCGACTAGACAAATCTTTATGTCAAGTGATTTGCCATCCAATTAACCATATATATATATATATATATATATATATATATATATATATATATATATAAGGGTAGGATCCTTTGACACCGATGTCAAATTTTGAAATTTGACACCAAATCCCAACTGTTGATTTCCGCCAATCAACGGTTATTATTTATTGGAATTAATAATTAATTAATAAGTGTAATTCCCAATAAATGATAACCGTTGATTGACGAAAATCAACGGTTGGGATTTGGTGACAAATTTTAAAATTTGACACCAGTGTCAAATGATCTTATCTCATATATATATATATATATATATATATAAGAAGTCTTTAATTAACTAAGTAATTTCCATTCTGTGTTTGGTAAAATATTTAGGACATTGGATATGTAATTAAAACTTTAATTGTGCAATCAAAAGGTAAGGTAAAAACTACATTAAAAGCAACAAATAAGGTTTATTCTATGAAAAATATTACCAAAAATAACGGGAAAAAATTAAGAGATAATGACCATTTTGACGTTGTTTTGGAAATTTTTGCCAAAATGTCACTGGTTTAAACATTTTGACCAATATGCCATGGTGTCAACACTCGCTCTAAGCAGAGACGGGTCTTGTAAGACACGTTGCATAAAACGTGTGGTCCCAAGGACTTGCCTCTAACAAAAGTGTGGCCATGACAAGTCTTACAACAGAGCAGATCTTAGACCCATCACGACGAGCAACGTGTCGCTTGCATGCATGCCATGTGTCATGTTGTGGTATAATCGCCTTCATTTATGGCAAATCCTTGCTTATATATACCACCCCCACGCCTCGTATTCTCCAACACAAATTTTTCAAATATCCTCTATAGTTTTACTCATCAGTTATGTGTACAGTGTTATTTTCTACTCTTATACTCTTATTTTTTTAGAATGAGTGCCATTAGTGATTCATTAATTGACCTTGTATACTACAATGAGAGGAAGTATTATGGTCCTATTTTTGAAGGAGATACGAAAATGATCTGCATGAGTCCCCGTTGTAGCTATTATACTCTGAAGAAGATAATCCACAAGAATTTAGGAGTACAAGAGAGTCAATCTCTATGTTGCTTGACTACTAGATGCTCCACCTGTAAGGGGAAATGGATCAGCGTGGAGATTGTTGAAGATGATGATGTGACATGCGTAGTTGAAGCATTTCTAAATCAGGATGACATATATTTATTCAACTGTATGCAAAACTAGACTCTGATCTATGCATGAGCATTCACTCCCTATAATTTAGTCTGTTGACATTAATAGGGAGTCACATTTTGATCCTGATGATAGGTATGTCTTATCCCCACCCATCCACCCCTACCTTCACCAATGTTAAGTGAAATGACTACCGCCCAAGACGAATATGATCTGACGTTGTGTACAGATAGTTATGAGGAAGAGGTGGGAAAAGGTCTTGTTCTGGATAGTGACTTATCGAACACCGACGTTGAGGGTGATTTCGATTCATCTTCGGCTGCCATAATATGGCATCCGATTTCTTCGCTAGGCATTGTTGGAACACGGAAGGTTAGGAAAAAGATTTAGTAGCTATTTTTAGAAGTTTAATTTTTATTATGCATTTGTTTGATGTCTGCACATATGATGTTATATAGGTCATAATAATACTCCTTTTTGGGCTAATACAAGTCATTATATGTATAATAATTGGGCACACTCAGATCGGGAGTTCCCTGCAATTGAGGGAGAACAAGCACCTAATTAGCATATGGGTCAAGAGTTATATAAGGACCAAGAGTTTGACTGTAAGCACAATGTGCAGATGGCAATAAAGCAATTTTGTATGAAGTCATAGCATCATTGTTGCAAGTGATACCACTCGATTGATCATAGTATAAAATCACAACGATGATTGTCCCTGGAGGGTGAGGGCACATGTAAAAAAATGGGGCAACTATTGGGTTATCGACAAATGGGTTGGAGAACACATATGTGTTAACCAAACTCTTTCCCAAGATTACAAACAATTGAACTCTAATTTCATTTTTTCAATGATCATAGGTATTTGTATATCTATTTTTATATATAATATGTATGATTCACCTATTTTTATATCTGATTCTTTTGATTAATTTAATTTTTTTTTACATTATAAAAATGATAAGGGAGGAGCTGCATGTTAAAATTGCTCTAATCCAAAAATGAATTGCAACAAATCATGGTTTTCATATATCATATAGGAAAACGTGGAAGGTAAAACAAAAGGTGATTGTGAAAATTTATGGAGATTGGGATGAGTCTTATGCTTTCCTGCCAAAATGGTTGAATTACATGCTGCTTTTTCACCAAGCTTTGCTTATAAGCTGGGCGGCTAGATAGAAGTGGAAAAGTTTTCCATAGGGTGTTTTTGACCTTCAAGCAGAGTTGTGATGTCTTTAACTATTGCAAGCTGATCATACAGATAGATGATACCCACCTAGGACCTGGATCAACTAGGCTTTGTGGGGAGT